CCTACACTCACTGTAAAAATATTTTTGGTTTTTTTTGCATAATTGATACATACATTTTATATATACTGACATAACAATGCACTATGTGACATATTGAACAATTCTGGAAGACTAACACTGTGTTAGCTTTTTATTTTAAAAAATAATACTGTTTTAAAATGGCAAAGAATCAGTTAAGTTTGTTGGTCAGAATAAACAATGCCAAACAAAAGTTTCCAAAAACTGCTGAGGAGGGGTAACACCATTTTAACTACTAGTTGTTCATGACAAGTATTATGCATAAGCAAATAATTTAGTTTTTAATAGAAACCTCCAAACTAATAAAACCAGAGTAAGTTCCTTAAAGTCTTGGCTGAACAGCTGCACATGCAGATAAAAAGAATAGCAACCAGAAAGCTCTCTAACAAACTTAACTATACCAAAATCATTGCTTTCCCCACAGTGCACAGAAATATCTTCAGTTACCAGTTCATATGCCTTATACAGAAGACAGCAAAAAAAATAAAAATTAGACAACTCAAGTATCTATGAATAGTTAAGCCAGGAAAATAACTGAACATATATTTCAACTACTGGACTGAATTGGGGCTTTGATGTGCCTGACTGTATCAAACATCTTGTTTCAATTCTCTCTCAGACTTCTCGGTTCTGATTCCTGACCATTAATAATCAACCTTTCTCCTCTGTAGGTCTTAACCAACAACTCAGAGCACAAGAAATCCATGGCCGACATATGAAGTTCTTTATCTAATGGTTATCTGTGCAGCAAAAACGGTTTAGAAGAAAGATTATATGACATTAACTGAGAAAACAGGTGAAGAAACTTAGAGGGAATCGGAACCTGGAAATCATGGACAGAGCTGATACAGAGAGAGGCCCAGGAGTTCCTAACTTGGGGCTCATTTTTAATCTCTCATTACACTCTCACATATTCCTAACATCTGCACTACCCACTTGGGAAATGGTTCAAAATACAGAACATGAATTCATGCAAAACCAAAGAAAACCACCCAGCAATCATTCAAAAATAAAGAGATAGGAAAAAGTGCCAGAAGAACAATAAAATAACCTTACTAAATGGACAGCATGATCAATTTCTTCAGTAGTTACACCTGCTTTCACCATCATGGCAGCAACATCCAATACTTCTCTAGCAAGCTGAAAATAAGAAAAAGGTACTGACTTAAAATAAGACCAGGATTATTCCTCAGAAAGTTAGTAACCCATTTTCTACAGCTACACTGAGATTGCTAGGGAAGCTGGGTAGACTTGGGCTCTAGAAAGACTTAAAGATTTTTACAGGATATATTATGAGGCCATCTCTGAGAGATTTGAAAATACCCTGATTAGGATTTGGACCATGAAATCCTTGAACACCATATGTGAACCAGACTACCTAAACGCATTTCAAGTTTGCCTTTATGCACAAGAAAATAATTACAAATGAACAGCTCTTTTTAAAAAATTATTAGGGATGGGGCTCTGTTTTGGTTTTACTTTTTAATTTTACTTATTACTCTAGAAGAAGAAAAAGTTCTGTTCTTATTTATGCAGTATAAAATATATTCTTAACAGTTACAGTGTTTTGGCCACAGATTATCTTGCTAGTAACAACAAAGCCAGATAACAGATAAAACTCATCTTTCTGCTTGCAAAGGAGTTCACTTTCAACTGAGAGTGACGAGGAGAGAGAAATCAAGAAATTACCAACTTTTTCAAACTGTTTTTCAATGCTTAGAAGTGGTCTGAAAGTTTGTATTCTCAAAAGTGCTGTCACAAACTGGTAAAATCACTATAGGTTTTTAAAGAATAAAAACACTTAGTAACAAAACCCAAAACCCCCTTACCCTACACACTACTCGCATCCCTTCTATATCTTCAGAAGAGAGTATTTTTATTTGAGAGGTTCCTTTTAAAGCCTGTTCCGATTCAGACATTCCTGAAATAGGAGGAGAAAAAAAAAAAAAGTGAAAAACCCATGTGATATGCTACACCCATCAAATCAAGGACCTTACTTAGCTTACCAATGGCAATAGAAGTATGTACTTCCTCACCACAGACTAAAGTAATGAACCCACCAAGTCATAGCATTATCATTGCTATCCAGATTAATTTGAATTAATAAGTCTTACACAATATTGTAATGCTCTTATGTGTTCAGGATGCCCAGTCACTCACTGCATGAAACCACCATGTCCAGTTAGTCAAAACACAACCTTAAAAATGAGATTAATTTACTACTAGAAAATTATTTTTTCTTTCAGCTGCTTTGTAGATAGTAAATAGTAATAAATAATATTCTAAAAGAGTAAGAAAGGATCATGAAAGCCTATTAATATCTCTAGTCATTCTATTGCAATAATCAGCTGGTGAAAACACAATTCTTCCAGATTCTGTGCAAGTCCAGTTTTATAGTTTAATGACCCCTAAAAGACAGTACTTTGTGTTATTTAAATATTTATATTCTGTACAGAATAATTAAAGAACGCCGAAGATTTGAAAGTAATTCTAACAGACTTTATAACAGCTTTTTGGGAAATGCAAAGGACCAATACCAAAAAGAGGTAAATACCAAAACAGACCAATAAGCAAGTAATTTTGAATGTATTCTCTCCGTGTCCAAAAATAGCTGGAACTCATACCAGTTTTAGGGGTTGCTTACTGCAGTTTTGTTTGGTTTTATTATAACACATTTCCAAGATACACTGATGTCACTGAGACTGGCTTAGCAGAATTCATCTGTGACAGTCAACTTGCTGCTATTAGTTACAAAGTTAAACACAGGACTAGGGCTTGTATGTTTTTTGACTTTTCTTCCCTTTACATATTTGAAGGATAACACATTACAATCTTCAGACTTCCAAAAAATACTTGTAACCATTAGTTCTGAAAAATCAGGAAGTTAATGTGGGGGAAGAAGAGATGGAGTGAGAAGAAAACATAGAAAATGAGATTCCTTTCTCCAGTATCTTCTTGGGGGTTTTTTCCATTAAAAAAAAACAGAAACCAAACACGTAATTCCATAATTATAATTTGTTTCAAGTTACCTAGTGGGTGATCAGCATAATCTGGCCTCTGAATATAGCTTGGCACAGGTCTTGTTGGTGTCTAAACAAATCATAGTCAAAGCTGGTTAGGTTGCAAGAATACTTACTACAGTCATAAAATCTGAGACTCATTCAGCAAATTCAAATATAGTGATATATGGCTAATTCTACTCAGAAAAAGCTGTGAAGTATGTAAACACTCAAAAAGAATTTGAGTTCTAATTTCCCAAATATTGACCTCTTACTCTTTATTGCTTAATTAACAATATCTAACACCATCTTCACAAACTTTTGAGTCGAAGTAAAGGAAATTGGTTTTATAACATATTATCCCCATTATATTGCAGAATTTATTCTGCTGCATTCCAGACTGCAAATGCACAGGTTCCAAATACACCCTTCCTCTCTCTGGTTATTAACATCTATTAACAAGATTACTGTTTCTAATCATCACCCTAGTCATTACTACTTTTTGTTACAGTTTAATTTGCATCAATCTTAAAACAGTCAGAAGTCAGGAAAGCAAATATTCAGCAATAACACTACTGAATTACTTGGCCAGTGGCATAACCAAAAGACTCCTGCTCCAGTGACATTAATAAACACACATGGGCTCAGGCCCTGTTAATGAGGTTCATTGATGAGCCTGTAACAGATGAAGGCTATGAATAGGATGCCAGAGGGGCAGCATTCCTAGCACAAGCCAATGAAAAGAGCTACAGGTAAACAGAATGCCATTAATCCTGTAATAACTATGGTTTATTGCATGTACAAAATTCATCAACTTAAAAATACAGCTATACTGAGGCCATATTCTAAACGCACCTTTCAGCCAAAGATTTTACTGACCCCAGTTATTCTTCACCATTCCAGCGCTAGAGACCACTACAACAGCTGTTCCTTCAGCAGAGCTGCTCACCAGCTTCCTTCAGACCATTTATATCACATAATATAAACCCATTTATATAAATTTTAAACTATTTTTTCTGAAACAGACTGTTGTATTATTGGTGAGAACAGTAAACAGCTAGGATGAATACATGATCTGAACTAGCAGCAGCTCTTTTTCTAAATAAATGTCAAAAGTTTCAGCCAAAACACATGAACTGAAGCATGTTACATCACAGGCACCTCCTTCATTTTAAATATACCAACAGACAGATCAAGTTAAATCAAAATGAACCACAATAAGGACACAGTCATACATGTCCTTGCCATCAGGTTCGGATCGTTTAAGCAGCTCTCCTTTCTCAGCTAAAATGCGGGAGGCAATCAGGTCAGGACTGGCCCATGAGTTGCTACAGAATGCAGCCACACTGGAGCAGAGTGGCACCTGTTGCTTACCAGTGGATAGTGTGGCCTGAGTTTACCAGTATATCGATAACCAGACCAGGGATTTGTGTTCACATCACCTTCCAGTGTCCAAGAGGAAACTTCACGCTTAGCTTTTTCATCTTCTGAAAAGAAAAAATAATAATAATAAATTCAGCAGCAAAATCAGTCTTACTAATAGAACAGAGCTGTGTGGTCATACAAAGTGACCTAGAAGTACATAAGTCTAGATTTTACTCTTTCTGGTGTTTTAGATACTGATATATCAAAGTGTAAGTAGCAGTTATTTTGTATTGCTCTTAATTTTTTCACATTCAAAATTCATATCCTTCCAACTCTATCCAGTAGCAAACTGGGGAATGTTAGGACAGCATTGCTGCATGCACAATTTAAATGTAATAATTATTTTAATTGGTCTTCATTTGCAATTCTAAAACAGTTCTGTGCTTGTTTTCATTCTTTGGAAAAAGCATATTTTTACAGAAACACTCATTATTCCTTTAATTGTCACTCCTGCACTATAGATGAATGTTCCCCTTTCTGTGATTTCTCTCAGCATCCAGTGACAGAGATGACCTGGGGTGGGAATGAGGGTATCCAGCTGTTAGAGTCTGCTACTCTGATCTGACGGAGAGAGAGGGTGCTGCTGCTTCTGCACTTCAGGACAGCACTGTGTGCACCTTACAAGGTGGTCTCAAACTGCTGGAGGTTTCCAGCTCTCTCAGCCTTATGAAATTCATGTCTGATGTGGTCCAGTAACTGACTTAATTCACAAATAACAAAATCCTAACAGGGCAGACTGAAGGTGTTTACATAAAAGACTGAAGCAAGTAGACTGTGGGCATTACCAAAAGGAAAAATATTTACTCAGAAAGAAGAGGCAAGGGTTAAGAAAGAGCACAGTGGCATTAATCTTTAACTCATAACCTGATAACTTAAGTTTGTTGACTCCTTTTATATCTCATATGAATGACGAGATAGCAAAAGGTCTGCCATAGCAAGCCCTCATGTGGGTTCCGCAAAATCTCTGTGGTTGACATCTGGGACATCTGCTTACATGACATTCAGTTTAGACAAACCACTGAGAAGTAATCACAGAATCACAGAATGCTAGGGGTTGGAATAGATTAAATATCCAGAGTTTTAATAAAGCAGTATTTTAGATCCCTTTGAGATGCTTCAGTAGTTTATTGCATCGAGGTCTAGAGGGCTATCAGAACCAAGTCCTCTCAGCTTGAAGTTTAGCAGTTACTGGGAAGCCAAGAAGATCATGGATTCAGTGGTATCATTAAAAAATTGTCAGACAAACAAAAGCCCCAAAGGATTACTAACAAAGAATATCCATGCAGGTACAAAGTAAAAAGATAAGAAACACAAATATGAACTTCAAGACTCCCTACATTGGGAAGGCTGAAAGAGGAAAAACATTTGTAATTGTTCGTGCTACTCCAGCCTTTTACCCATGAAACATTTAGCACGGAAAAAATGTTTTATTGTGTTTTAGGAAAGGAGGAGGTAAATTAATTGAAGATTTGATTTCTGCCAGGCCACTTTTAATCCTACTTCACTCTTAAGCGGGGCTTGATGAAGTTGGGTGGGGGGAAGGCCTGGGGGGAAGAACTGCAGTCTACTCTCTCCTTTGGTTTGTTTAGTCTTAAACTTAATAGATTATTTTTACTACTCAGACAAGGAAGAATGTGCCAGTATTTCTGTGCCAGATCTATCAGTTCTAACTAAGGTACACAGATACTTTTACTACCTTCAACAAAACTCAGCAAAACCCTAGCTATCACACATCCTCCTATTATTGGCTGCGTCAGCACACAGAACCATTTTCCTTTTTCCCCGAAGTGGTACATCCTCAGTGTACATAAGAGCTGCACCCTGACTGGCTTGCTTGCATTCCAGAAAGTATCTAATCCCCATGACTTCACAAGAACTTTTCCCACTTTACTTCCTTTCGCGATGTCAGAAATGAAAATTAGGCCTGGCAATGCTTTATACTAATGATTTATTATTCTCCCTGATCTTTATTTCAGCATCATTCTTTCCCTGTTCATATACCTGGCAATGTAGCTCAAGGAATACTTCATTCAAATAGAAAAGAGAACAGAAACCGAGATTTCTGTACCATTGTATCTGAAATTTTAGATTACCAGGAAGTGGACAATATTTCACATATGAAGAATCCAATGCCAGATATCTTGGGAAAATCCACACCATTCTTAAAACACAGAATCACAGAACAGTTGAACTGGAAAGGATCTCTAGAGGTCATCTGGTCCAACCCTCTGCTCAAGAAGGAACACCAAGAACCAGCTGCACAGGACAAAGCAAATTCAAAACAATATTAAAATGGATTTTTAAAAATGTACTTACTTGCTTTCTTGTGTAATAACTTGTGAGTAGCCCAGCTTCCCTTAAAGCATTCCTAGAATTGCAAACAAAAAATATAAATATTTAAGTAGCATTATCCTGGACAGACACGCCACACCTACAAAGTAGAGAAACAACTGAGTTTTAACAGAAAACTAAAAGATTAATTTTGTTAACCTTTGTAGCAACATGCCATAAACGCCACTGTCTCAACAACAGAAAATACTACACTCAACAGCTTATGAGCCAGAAGAAACAGAAAGCATAGCCAGCCAGGCACACTCATCACAGTGAAACACACTGATCCTATTTCCTAAATATTGTCCCCTTACTGTTTTAATGAGTAATGAAACACCATGGTTGTTCCATGTTGGCTCAAACACTGTGCTGTAAATGGAAATAAAGAGATAAGAGGTTTTCTGGTCTATCTCCATATCAGAACTTATACTGTTGCAGTAGGCAGGATGGTCCTCACCTGCCCCGATCAAGAAGCCGCCTCCTCCTGCTAATCTTGTCCTTTCTGCCTCCTTCCCCAGCACAGGACAGCAACAGAGGCTGATCAGCTAAATCTCTGAAGAAAGAGGCAGGAAACAAACTGTTTTCCTTTATAAAGAAAAAAAATACTTATGCTGTATCATCATCATAAAAATACCATTCAGAGCCAACAACTGATTCAACCTCATGTATACAACACTCAATCAGTTCAAGACAACAGATCTGCAAACTAAGGCTAACCTACACCATTCTACTGCCGCTTCACAGTTGCTATTGAGCAGTCTGCCTACTTCTGTAGAGCCATCTTCTCCCCATTTTCTCATTGTTCTTGCAACCACTAGTTAAAAAATTGTATCCACAAGACCACAATAATGTGGTGCAGAAGTATGCCTACATTCAAAGAGACTCTATGCTATTTCCCTAGTTACCAAAACCAGTTTAAACCAGTTGTTTGTTGACTTCTCCTATGCCACATACACGAAGTTGCCACATTTTCTGGGCTGGCACACGCATGTCATGGTGCTACACATTGGCCTGGACAACATAAGACTTTGACACCAACTCTTTAGATTACCAGAGAAAACACCTTTTTGAACAAGCATTGGAAGGTTTTACTGTCACTGTTGTATAACCCACTGCATACGCAGACCTTTGTGCTGCACTATTGTCTGTTTTCTTTTGGAGAGCTGGGAGAAATAGAGCAGGTTTTAACTGAGGCCCATTTTAAGAATAAAAAAAGATAAAAACCTATTTCAAGGACACTAGAAGCACTAGTATAGTTTCAATCCCCTTTTAAACACCAGGCCTATATTCTAAAGCAGAAGAAGTATTACACAACTAAGGACTTTGAGCAGCTACCAAATCTGCAAATCTAGAATGCACTTCTTGGGATATAAAGGAACACTTGGGGAATGAACACCCACATCAGCTGTGGCAGTTACTGGCTCTAGTTCATTCTTTCTTTCCCCATGAAATTTTGGGGGTATTCTCCCATGCTGTTCCTTTCTCCCATGCCAACAGTCTTTCCTCTTTGCTAGCCCATAACCAGAAAACAGCAGGAAAACACTGGACTGCTGGCAGTATCATAACCTGAGGGCCCCATTCTGGCTTTTTATTTCCTGCAGCTGCAAACAAGAGGATCCTGCATAAGGCTGCCATATGTCTGAGTTTTCCCAAACATGTTTCCCTGGTTTTATTTGCCCTCTGTTTCCAGAGGAACATCAGCTCTGTCAGAACTACTTCAGCATAGCTCCAAACAAGCTGCTGTACACCAGGACATCCCAGACACATGCACTATATGCACATTGATCTACTGCAACAAGCACACACAGCAAGTCCAAAGCATTTTTGTAAGCACTGACTATTTACACATGCAGTGCAATAATGAATATCTCTGTCCTGGTCTGACACTTTTGGAAGACACCCAACGAATATGCTGCACATTCACCTACAACCCCTGTATTTTGTGTAGGATCAGTCATATGCTTCCTGTAAGCACCGGACTTACCAGGTACACACAAACTATATTCAACAACTTGCTGCAAAAGCAGTACATCGCATATGCCTGCAGAGCTCTCCCTTGGCAATTCCAGATAAAAATATGGCAGCTGTCACCTCACAGGCTGGAGAATCGGAGCTCTGGTGACAAAGCACTACCAATGCACCACACATACTGCAAACGCTCTCACCTTCTACACAGCAGACTTCCTGACAAGCCATGGAAAAAAGCCACTTTCTCCCTCTACATCTGGGCCATTTTCTGAAGAATTTTCTGAAGAAAATTCTGCTTTTCACTGAACCTTCTTTGCCAAGTCTTTTCCTTTCAGCCTTCTGCTGAGACATTTACTTCCATCTTTCTATTGTCTTTCCTGTCTCTATAGGTTCTTCCATGTTGCTGTGCCACATACAGGTCACAACGGAATATTTTCAATTATTAAATAAACAAAATCCAGGAAAAAATATCCAGGGTGATTTTTAATATTAAAATAAATAAATGAAATATTTTCTGATATAGTTTTAAAAAAGGAATGCATGACCTTGTATGTCTATATTTGAAAATAATAATTAGCTTTAGGGAAAAAGTATGCAAGAATAATATGACTTTGGCTTCAAGTGTCTAGGAACACTTCTTGTATTTAATTTCAAACATTATATTATCCACCAGTTTATCTGAGATTAACATCTCTACCCTTCTCACCTAAAGCATTTTTCTTTTTATTGCATGCTTTTTTTTTTATATAGCAATCAAGACGGACTTGGAAACACTGAAGATGGCTGTGCAAGAAGGGAGGTCAAACGTATGACCAAAAATAAAAGGCAGAGAGTAGAAAGGTAACACTCAATTTGCTTAGAGCAATCTTGGATACAACTGTTCCACCAGGAAGAAATATACAATTTTGATTTTTAAACAGAGGCTGTCAACATACTTAAAACTTCAAAAAGTTTTCTGGCTTCAGGTCATTCTTAACAATCTCATTGATTCTGTCTTCACAGACAAACTCAACCCAGTGCTCATCAGAAACTGCCTTTACCAAAAGGGAACTAGAGGTATGATCAACATTATGATCTAGAAATATTATTCTTGGATGACCTCATGAAAGGCATGTTATTTCTTTAAATTATTTTCTACCTTACGGACTCAGCCCATCATCTATTTACTGGGTCAAATGTTGACAGAATCATGCAGCTCAGCAGAATTTGTTTTACAGTGGAGTTCATTTTCACTATCAACAAAATGATCACTAACAGTACCCTAGGTTTTGTTGTGTTTTTTTTAATCAGCCATTGAAAGAAAAAAAAAACAAAACAAAACCCTTTAAAACCGTTATTGAGCCACTTAGCAAGGAAATTTTTTTCCTATGTTTATTGTCATCTTACTGTAATAACTGTAGGGAGCTTATTATTCTTTTGGTTCATGTACCCATGCAACCTGATTAAGAGATAAAAATCAACTGCAAATTCCAGAGGAGAAAAGGGTGCTAAATCAACCAAGATTAGGATATAACTACACTGTAAACCTCTGTATAGCACAGACATAATTACAAATTAACTTTAAATGAGCTACCCAAGTACAGGAAGCTATGCAGGCACCACAACACCCAACTCAAGTCATACATTGTGTTTCTGAACTGCCTTTGCAGGGTAGCAGCTCATTTAAAGTTTGACCTGTCAACTCCTCATCAGTGATTTCCAGCCTTAAGGATGACACTCTCCCTCAGGCTCCCCTTCTCCTTTGGGTATTGCTGCTCATTTACACAACCTGGCATTTGACATTGTAAATACACCTATCAGTGGGTAGGCAAAAACTGCTGTACTGTACAATTACTAAGAACTCCAGTCCATGTCCAGCTTGAGTGGAACTACCCCATCCACTCTGCTCATCATTTGGAGCCACTGTGATGAATCTCCAAACATTCCTATTCTACCAGAATTTAAAAAAAAAAAAAAAAAAAAGAGGACAAGACAGCTGGGATCAAGACTATTGGGACAAATTGGCTGTCTTTTTGCATGTTATTATACCCTGAATTGTAATGGGCAAACACTTAGGAACAGTGCTAAGCTGTACACTGTATTTTAAAACATTCTGAGCAATTATAAAAATAGCATTTTAAAATATCCTTTGGAATGCAGAATTGTCTTGGGCTTGATCTGAGATCATGTAGTTTTGCTTAATGAGAACTCGTTTCTAACCAAACCACCTTGAAGGAATGCAAAACAGAAGGGAAAAAAGCTTAAATACAGGATTTATCTTAAGCAAAATATCAGGTTATCACTGATATTTACTACAATACAGATTAGGTGTATGTTTCATCCATAAATACAAGTATGATGAGGAATACATGTTAGTATATTTGATGTTAAAGTAAAACAGCTGCTTCTTTTTAGCACCCTGAATCCTACTCTTCTAGGTGCAGTACAAGCCCACACAAAACTGCCTCTGGCTCGAAAAAATTCCATATGTAATTCCCAAACTAGCCTACGCAGCATACACGACTAGTCGGTTTTTCAGAAGAGCTGAATAAACATTTTCAGATTCAAATCCAAGGGATGCACCTACATGCAGCACCCTGGCATCAGCAATGTTGGGTTTCTCCTCCATTTAAAGCCTGATCTCACCCAGATGCTCCTGTGTGCCAAACAACAAAGTCCTTCCTTTGAGGACAGGACTGCATTTTGCAAGTCTTCAGACTTACAGAGACATACAAGTGAGTTTGAGAGTAGCAAAGGAGCAATGGGCCAGAGAAATTCAAACTGGACCATTATTCCAGTATACAGAACACTAGCTCAGATACTGAACACTGCCTATAGGAGTGTGAAGTTTTACTTTCAGAAAGTTACATGTGCTCAGCATTTGTGCCTCAACAATAACCAGACATTTGCCACAGACACAGGTACTTATGCTGATTTATAGGCAATTTAAAATGTCAGCCTCCCAGTGAAGGGAATCTGTCAAAAGATCTTGAAAGCAGTATCTGCAGAGTGCGATTTATACCAAAAGAAACCCATATGCATTGCAGTTGGATCCAAGCAGCAGGTTCTAGCCTATTTCAGGCGCAGTGAACCAAGAATGAAATATGGCACTTACGTCCTATGGTCTGACACAAGAGAGGACAAAAAGTAGTCTCACCCTGGTCCACTGCTCCCTGCTCCCCACTCCCAACACACAGAAGGTGAAAGGAAACAGCAAAGTGGAGGACACTATAACACCACTCTTCAGGACAACAATTTTTCGTAAATGACTGTGACCTCGAGTATCCAAAGCTCTCAAGGGCCCAAGTCTGAGTATCAGTGAAAATGTGCCTCCCAGGAAGGTATAAGCCAGTACACAAACCCACTAAGAAAACAGAGCAGCATTTATTTCCTGTCTTTGGAATTCAACAAGCCATCCTCCACCTCAAATGGCAAGAGCACCATCAGTGGGCATCCACCATTGTGAGAGAGATGCTGCTGCCCCCACACAACTGAAACTGCTTCCCTTCAAACACCTAAAACACACATCCAACCATTGCTCATGCATGGCAGCTTCACTGCGTCATGGTCATCACTTTTGAGTCCATAACCAGATCACTTGAAGGACTGGTAACAATCTGTGGCCTTCACTCTCAGGGAAAAATGTGGCCCAGGCCACTGACTTTATAATAAGAGATTGCTTCCAGTATGCAGCTTGAAATAGGTATTTCTGGATTTGGCTGGAGAAATGCCCCTACACCAGCATCCAGGCCACAACACTGAAAACCACAGACTACTCTGCTTTGTCTGAGACACTTATACAGATATAAATAGTATGAGAGAGGAAGTTTTCATGAAAGCAACACAAAATTATTAATAACAATCAACTTAAAAGTGCTAACCAGAGATCTCAAGAACAGTTACTACCTTCCCTCTGTTCATCATTCAGCAGCTTGTAGAAGGCATAGAAGAAATGTAAATGTTTGTGCATTTAAGCACAATCTGTTTATGTATACTACATATAATTTACACAGAAGTGATGTGTTATCTATAAAGGCAGATTTTACAAAAGCAAATTAATCTCAATAGGAGGAACAACATACTTCCGAGGTGATGCTGGACATCTGTGTTATCTCCACATTCAGAAGACACAGTGAGATACAGTAATTTATCTAAGATGATAACGCAACACTGTAGTAAGATCATACAAAACAGAAGTCAGGACAGTGAAATAAGGTAGCTGGCAGCAGCAGTATCTGATTTACTAGCCTAAATTGAGATCTTAAAGGTTAACGGCAGACATGATCCCTCAGCAGAATGTTCTCTCTTGTTACACCTTAGGGTGAAAGAAATAAAATAACTCTGGGGTTCAACACACCAGTCAGAACCCCTCCACTGCCAAAAGCCATCTTTTCCCCATCTCCGTTATTAGTTCAAAGCTGCCCTGCTACACCAGAACTCGGCTGCCTTGGGGCCCTTTCCATCTATGACCCACCAGTTGTACCCTGTTTGCAAAGTGCACAACACTCAGAAATGAAACAGTGCTGGCTCAAGGGAATTTCAAAGGATGTAAAATTACTCGATAGTAAGTGTTTTCAGGGCATGTTGTTGAGATGTATTCTTTTTCATGCAGAAAGGGGGAAAAGAAGAATTACCAGAATAATGCCCTTTCTCAAGGAAGGAAGGAATGCAAACTACAAAACCACTGGGGAAATCACTGTCTTGATAAAATTGACTTGAAAAAGTTCATGTCAATTCTCTACGTGCAATGACAAAAAACAATGTTTAATCAATCTCCCCACTACACTGATAATCTCAGTCCTCTACCACCTGCATCAGTATTTCTTTACAAATTTTATGTTACTATTTGTAATCCAAACACATTGCACCACACCGGCTACCCCTCCACAGCAGTTCACACTTTTCTGTTGTCTACTCTTAGCATTGAGAAAATGCTAAGGTTTAGCTTCAGTTGGAGTTTTGGCTCCCCATTGTAGGCTCCCAAGCAAATTAACCTTGCTTGCATGTCTGTATAGATGTTCTTACCCCTCAAAATGATGCCAGGTAGCTTGTCGCTCCCATCCTGCCCTCAAGCCCAGCACAAGC